CTAGCATGTCACCGACTCCTCTTGACAGATGTAGGTCACCTGGAATGCTTGAACCCCTTGGCAGTGCTAGAGCACCCATGTCTGTCCTACAGCAGGCCAGTGGCTCCATGATGGATGGTCCAGGTCCCCGAATACCTGATCATCCAAGAACATCTGTGCCAGAAAACCATGCTCAGTCCAGAATTGCACTTGCCCTGACAGCTATCAGTCTTGGAACTGCTCGGCCACCTCCATCCATGTCTGCTGCTGGCCTTGCTGCAAGAATGTCCCAGGTTCCAGCTCCAGTGCCTCTTATGAGTCTCAGAACAGCACCAGCTGCCAACCTTGCTAGCCGAATTCCTGCAGCCTCTGCAGCTGCCATGAACCTAGCCAGTGCCAGAACACCTGCCATCCCGACAGCAGTGAACCTGGCTGACTCGAGAGCACCAGCTGCAGCAGCAGCCATGAACTTGGCCAGTCCCAGAACAGCAGTGGCACCTTCAGCTGTGAACCTTGCTGATCCTCGAACCCCTACAGCCCCAGCTGTGAACCTAGCAGGAGCCAGAACCCCAGCTGCCTTGGCAGCTTTGAGTCTCTCAGGCTCTGGCACACCCTCAAATGCTGCAAGTTACCCTGCTAGCTCCAGAACGCCTCAGGCTCCAGCCTCTGCAAACCTGGTGGGTCCTCGATCTGCACATGCCGCAGCTTCTGTGAATATTGCTAGCTCCAGAACACCTGCAGCCTTGACCCCTGCAAGTCTTACCAGTGCTAGGGTGGCTCCAGCATTGTCTGGTGCAAACCTCACTAGCCCCAGGGTACCCCTCTCTGCTTATGAACGTGTTAGTGGCAGAACATCACCCCCACTTCTTGACCGAGCCAGGTCCAGAACACCACCATCTGCCCCAAGCCAGTCTAGGATGACCTCTGAGCGGGCCCCCTCCCCTGCCCCAAGAACGGTTCAGGGTCCTTCACAATCTATTCCCTCAGCACAGGATCGACCTAGGTCCCCAGTGCCATCTGCTTTTTCAGACCAGTCCCGTGCTTCAGTGGCCCAGTCTGCCCCTGGAGCAGGGTCTCAGTCCCTTTCCTCTGGGACACTGACGAAGACCTCAACCTCTGCTGGTGATCACAATGGCATGCTCTCTGGCTCGGCTCCTGGGGTGGCCCACCCTGAGGATGGGGAGCCACCTGCCTCTACTGGGGCCCAGCAGCCTTCTGAATTGGCCACCTTGCAGCCAGCGAAGGAGCGGCGGAGTTCCTCCTCCTCCTCCTCCTCTAGCAGCAGCTCATCATCATCATCATCCTCGTCGTCCTCGTCCTCCTCGGGCTCCAGTTCTAGCGACTCAGAGGGCTCTAGCCTTCCTGCTCAACCTGAGGTGGCAGTGAAAAGGTGAGGGGATTTGATTTTGAGGAGTCTCTGGGGAGGTGTTGGATGTATTAAGGGAGTGGGGAGGGAGAAACTATATCACAGGTTCTTGGCTTTTTGAAGAGATACGGGGGAACTTTGCCCCTCAAGCTGGGGTAGAAGAGAATGCTGGGGTGGGGGCTACGGGGGGAAGGGATGGGACAGGTAAAAGTCTCCAAAGATTAATTCTCTAGAGGATAATGATAAGTTTTCCGTCTCTACAGAGGACAGAACTAGAGGAAATGGACTTAATTTTACAGCAGGAGGGATGGCAGTTAGACCTCAAGAGGAACTCCCTGGGCTGGAAGGATCTTCAGAGGTCATCCCATCCCTCTCCCTGCCTCCAGGCAGGACGGCCCCTCCCCAGCCAACCTCCACTCACAGGGGCCTCCCCAAGCTGCGGCTCTCCAAGGAAGGAGACCACCCAGCTTCAACTACCACATCTGAGCCCAGAGGCCTTATTCCTCCATCAGGGACATTCTTGAGGTTTAACCTTGATCCCTTGTGCTGCGGGACCCAGCCTGTTGCTTGTTTTAGCAGAGGTCTGGTTGCTTCAGGCCACTGCTCTCCAGAGAAACGCTCACTGACTCCGCTTCCAGGGCTCCAAGAACTCCCAGGCCTTTCTCAGGCACCCCTCCCCCACTGCCATTCCTCCAGGCCAAGGAAGGTAGGGTTGGGGCTGGGGCGGCTTGTTTCTTTGTGACACTGCTCTTCTCCCACAGGGTCCCCAGCCCCACCCCAGCCCCAAAGGAGGCTGTGCGAGAAGGACGTCCTCTGGAGCCAGCCCCAGCCAAGCGGAAGAGGCGCTCTAGCAGCTCCAGTTCCAGCTCCTCCTCTTCCTCTTCCTCCTCTTCCTCCTCTTCCTCTTCCTCCTCCTCCTCTTCCTCCTCTTCTTCCTCCTCCTCCTCCTCTTCCTCCTCTTCTTCCTCATCCCCCTCCCCTACTAAGCTGGCCCCTCAGGCCTTACCCAAACCTGCAAGCCCCAAGAAGCCAGCCCCTGGGGAGCGGAGGTGAGTGCTGCCTTGCCTGGGGTGGAAGCGGGCATGGGGGTGACTTCTCCAGAGCAGGGACCCTAGGTGAGGTCCCTGCTGGGGTGCTTCTTGTAGACTTTGATGTCTGGTCTTTTGGGGAGGAGTTGGGCACTCAGCACTCCCCACCATTCTGTGGTGCCCTCTTCTGGTAAAGGGCTGCACCATTCGATGGGTTCTGAAGCTGGAATTGGGAAGTCCTAGGTTTCTTCCTCCCTCCCTTCCCTCCCTTCCCCCCTGTGCAGCCTGGTCCCAGGGATTCTAGCTCTTAAGTTTCCCCATTGCTGCTGCAGGGCTCTGGGCTGGCCACCGTCATCTTCTCCCGACTCTGTCCACAGCCTCCTCCCTGTCTCCCTGCCTCCACGCCATTCTCTTCCACACGTAGCCAGAGGGATCTTTCTAAAACGCACATCTGGTTACTTCCCTCCACTCCACAAATCCTTCCGGGACGCCCTGTGGCCTTCAGGATAAAGCCCCACCTCTGCGGGAATGGCGTGTGAGGCTCTTCACCAGCTGGCCTTGCCCACCCTGTGCTCCTCCTGCCCGCCCCCACACATGCCCTGTGCTCCAGCCACACCCAGCGCCTTGCAGTCTAAGGAGAGCCCCATGCCTTTGGACATGCTGTTCCTTCTGCCTGGAATTTCCTTGTCCGCCTGGTGAACTCCTCGTTCTGCAAGACTCCACTCAAAACAGCACCTTCAAGAAGACTGCCCTGCCCCTTCCCCGCCTTGTCCACGTCCCCCTACCCCTGGGTCCCCAGCCCAACGCACATCCATTCCTGCGGGGCTGTTTCCCACACATGGGGCCCTGTGTTCCTCCCATGCTGGCCTTCTTCACTCCCAGACTGAGCTCCTCCAAGGGCAGGGACTGTCTTTATCTTTGCATCCCCCGCTGTACCCTGGGCCCTGCCCACTGGGGGCACACGGTGGATGTTGTGCGGGCGGATGGGTGAGTGCGGACAAAGGTGGGTCTGAGGCTGGCCCTGCGTGGTGTGAGGTTTGGTGGTCAGGACCTGGGTGGGTGGTCCTGAGTGCTAGCTGGTGGGTTTGGAAGGGCGTGGTGCTATGGGGTCCTACTCTGCTCTCCAGGTCCCGCAGTCCCAGGAAACCAATAGACTCCTTACGAGACTCGCGGTCCCTGAGCTACTCACCTGTGGAGCATCGGCGTCCCTCACCCCAGCCCTCACCACGGGACCAGCAGAGGTATGGCTCAGAGCAAGTGTTAGTAACTGGTCTTATCTACCATCTGATTCGTACAAAAAATGTTTAGAGTAAGAACGGTCTCTTCCATTTTGGGGTCTGATGGTAGTTCTGTGTTACAGCAACAGTGAACGGGTTTCCCGAAAGGGCCAACGTGGGGACAGCCACTCTCCAGGCCACAAGCGCAGAAGAGAGACACCTAGCCCTCGGCCTGTGCGACACCGCTCATCCAGGTACATTACCCTGGAAGGCCGCACCCCTTATAACAGCTGTTAGTGGCGGGGGCAAGGCCATGCTGGGGAGTTGAGGGCTGGGTGGAGCCCTTACGTTGATCCTGGTCTTCTTTGTTGCAGGTCTCCATAACTATTTCGGGGAATTCTACCCTCCTCTGGAGCCACAGGGAGTGCCCCCCTCTTCCCCAACAGAGCCGTGGGAGGGGTCCTTGTCTGCCCTGCCAAATCCTGGCAGCATCTTGGGGGGAGGACTGTCCTCCCTCCCTTTTTTCTTTGTTCCTGTGAAATGTTAATCTCTGTGAGTTTTTCCTGGTTCATGTGTTTTGGGGGGTTTGGGGTGGGAGGGAATGTGGATAGGAGTTGGGGGAGGAGAGGATGCAGTTCAGGACACCTCAGCCTGAAATCAGAAAGGTCTTGCGAGTTTGGGGCCCCCTTAGATCCTAAGGGTGATGGTTTGGTGCTTGAAATTGTGTGAGGTGTTCTTGGAAGGGGCAGTTTGATTTATTTAGTTGGCCCCTGACTGCCCCATGAAGTTGTGGCCCCTCCCCCAACTTTTCTTCACGTTTCTTAAAAGGCATTTTGGTTTTTTAAAATCTGTACAGCAAGAGCAACTTTTTCTGTCAAATAAAAATGAGAAATGCAGGATTGGTCTATAGACTTTAAGTGTGGAAAGCCACCTTCTACCCTCCAAAAGTCCCCAAGGCTGTGTGGGATCTCCTGAGGGCCTCAGGAATGTGGTTCCCCTGTGGTTCCCCTGTAACCCACTCTCAAATCAGAGACATTGGCTCTAGGCTACTGGTGATTCTGACCTTTGCCTCTCAGCCTGGAAGGCCTTGAGCAGGATGAGGTTTCTGGGAGTGCATGGGCAAGGGTGGAAGGTGCTTTGAAAAAAGGGGATCATCTATCTCATATAGCACCAGGCTGGCCCAAGGGCTCACTTAGTCCTCCTCTTAAGAAGCAATCAGCTTGGCCTGCAGGGTGGCTCCAGTACCATGGTGCCTTTAAGTGGGGCAGACTGGGCCAAAATCAGCCAAACAACAAAGCAAGTAGCGGGTATGCAGCAGTTTGAGGAGTGGGCAAACAGACCCATCCCAGGGAAAGGTAGTGCCTTGAGGAAGTCGGGGGGGGGGGTGGGGAGTGAGAAAGAGGCAGCAACCAGGCAGAAAGCCAGATGTCTTTTATTGGGGCAATGGGCCTTGGGGTGGGCAAGGGCCCTCACTGCACAGCTTGTTCATTGGCGCTGCCTCCGGAGTCCTGAGGCTTCATCACATCTGGAAGTTCCGGTGGGCTAGAGAAGGGCTCAATGCGCAGGGCCTCAAAGGTGTCATCTGTTGAAAAGGGACAGAGCTGAAGAAGATGCTCTGACTCCTGTCCCACCAGGGCCCTGACATTCACCTTAGGTTTGAATCTCTCCAGGAAAAGTCCTGACTTCCCACCTCTAGCTGCCTAATGTAGTGGGGCACTGAAATGTTTCCCACCCTTACAAGCTCACCAGTCCCCCAAGCCATTCTGGAGCCGTTTTCCTCATTTGCATTCATCAACCCATGAGCAGAATGCTTACACCCACCTCCTTTTCTGCCTCCACATGTTCACCCAGAATTTTATTATTCCATTACACCTTTACCAACAAGTCAGAGATTGCTTAAACTTTCCCATGGCTTCTACCCGTACCCTGAATAGGATCTTAAAAGTCCTCCTGGTCTCTCTTCTGTCATTTATCTCTAACGCTCAAACCTGTTCCCTGTTCTACATCAGGTTCTTTCCTACCTCAGGGCCTTTGTACCTCCTGGTTCCAACAATGGCTTCCAGTTCCCACTGCTGCCCTAGCATAAAACAAATGAACCTCACTTTCACCTATGCTTTTTTTTTTTTCTTTTCACATAAGTGACTCATCCTCCACAGTTGTCAGTTGATCCTCCCCTGCCACCCTAAAAGCTTGGCACGTAAGGAAAATGTGTTATAATCAGAGAATTGGTATTGTGGGCGAGCTGCAGCTGGCACTTAGCAAAGAAAGGTCAGCAGTGCTGCCAAATACCTTATAATGCACAGGACAGCCCTATATTGAATTATCTGGTCCCAAGCCACAAATCTGCAGTGTCAGTTCTTTCACTGCCTGTCTTGCGGTTGGTCTAGTCACTGCCACTTTACACCTGATTTAACACTGTCATCTCCCTGAGCAGTTTGGGGCTCAGAGAAAAGTCTGTCTCATTCTTCAGCAGATAATGAATGGTGTGACACCCAGTCAAGGCCCAGGAAGCTAATACTGATTGGCCAGCTGTACCCAGAAGTGTCTTTTTACAAATGAAGTAATCCTTATGGGGCCAAACAGCTCACATCACCTATCACAACAGCCACCAAGCACTTGCCTGAGGGCTAACAGTAATGCAGGGTCACCACCACATCCTTCATTTTTAAATCTACAAAATGGCACTATCAACATGTTCGAAGTCTTGAAGGGTAACTTTGCTCAAATTAAAGAGAAAAGGCCACTTCTGGAAGAATGCAGCCCTGGTTTCACTTAAGAAGCAGACAGCAGACCAGATGTGTGTTCAGCCTCACTTGCCCCCTTACAGGGGCACTCTTGCTGAGTGTGGTGGTGCATGCCTGTAATCCCAGCACTCGGGAGGCTGAGGCAGGAGGATCACTATAAATTCAAGGGCAGCCTGAACCACGCAGGGAAACTATCTCAAAAAGACAAAAAAAAACCCCAAAGGGTCACCCTTGTGAGAGGCCTGAACTGTACAATCTCATCAGCTATAAACTACCTCAGTATCACCATGACTTCTACCTGTGCAGTGCTTCCAGCAGATGGGCGCCTAGGGTGTTTGGGCTCAGGCTGCTGCCTTATGAGGCTGGGCCCATCACACTCCACTGTGTTACTGGGAACTCCAGGCTGGTGGGGTGGCCACCGAGCCCTGCCCTGCCCTCTTACCTGCCCGGAAGGCCAGCCCCACTGTGGCTGGGGCCTGTGGCCTTGCTGTCTGGCTGGTAAAGCCACACTCTCCCAGCGTTTTGCCATCATCTAGAAGCTGGTCATCCTGAAGAGAGAAGAGGAGTCTTAGGTGAGGTCTCAGGAAAGCCAAGGCCCACATGCTTCTGGCCAGCAAGTACGCTGGAAGTCAGGAAAAAGAGCCCAAGTTTGGGTGACACCTCAGAGTATGTCAAATACTGATTCTAAGACCTTATGTAAGAACTTCAAAACCTTCAAAGGAAGGGCTATAGAATCTGGCTTTTCCAAACTCTTCCAAGTGAATCTAATTTAGGACCCATCAGTCTAGTCTGCAGACACACGGAGCATGGATTTGATTCTTAGCTGTTACCTTTTTTTTGTTTGTTTTTTTTTGTGACAGGGTCTCGCTGTGCAGTTCAGGCTGGCCCTGAGCTCACTTTGTAGCCCAGGCTGGTCTCGAACTCACAAAGATCCTACCGTCTCAGCCTCCTGAGTGCTGGGATCACAGGGGTGCCCCACCATGCCCGGTTTACCTATAATCTGGAGTAACAAGATGGAGCATTTTTTTGGGTCAAATTTTCCCAACTATAAAATAGAAATTACTGAAATTCCCAACTCAGTATAACCAGAGATTTCAAAGTGCTACAGAGATGGAGAAAGCACTGGATACGGGATATGGCAACTGGAACAGCCGGAGGCAGCAGGAGGGGCCATCAGGAAGAAAACACCAGCAAGTGTCAGGGACAACAGACCTTCAGATTTGAAGCTGAGGCTCTATTTCCCCACTTTCCAGCTGAAATCGGGTCACTGCACTTAAGTGATTGACTTCATGCTGCTAGGAGACCTGAATCGAAGCCTAATGCATCTGATCCCCTAATGAGGATCCCAGTAGCCCCGCCACCCTTACTGCACGCCCGCAGTAGGCTTGTAAGAGCGGGTCTTCCACAACATCAGCAAGAGCTTGGCGGGTAACACAGTTGACCTGGGTAAGCATTGGGGGGACCTGACCAACCTCCTCAGTGCATTTCTCTGAAAGCTCCTCACCCCCAGGGGCGGGATACCGGCGGGTCCGCGGGCAAACCAAGGATTAACGGTGACACAGTTCAGATGCAGGCTCTGCTAGGACTTCGCGCTGGGGAACACTACTCCGCCGAGCCAGTTTCCCCAACCATAGACTAAGGCCGAGGGAAGCGGCACGGAGCTGGGTACGGGGCTCCAAGCCGCGGGGACCGTCGGCGCGACCTGTGGGCCCTGGCGGGCGCCACTCGGACCCCACTGCCCCGCCTGCTCGCCCGCCGTACCTTGTACAGCCTCTGCTCGTCGGGCGGCCGCTTGAGGATGCCCTCGACGATGCGCTTCAGCTCGAACACAGTGCTCGACTCCTTCGCGTCCGTGAAGATGGTGGTCTTGTGGCGCCGGATCATGAGGAACACGTCCTAGAGGCGACC